GCACGCAGCACAAATTCCCCTGCGGCCCGTGGAGAGGCCCCTGGTGGAGCAGGCTGTCTCCCTGCAGCCCATGGGTCCCACATGGAGCAGATCTCCATGCTGCAGTCCATGGAGGAGCCCCTGGTGGAGCAGGTGGATGTGGCCTGGAGAAGGCTGTGGCCCATGGAGAGCACCCACAAGAGTAGGCCCCGGGCTGGAGCTGCAGCCCGTGGAGAGGAGCCCATGCAGGAGCAGGGGGTCTGGGGGTAGCTGCTGCCCCCCCTTGAGGGACCTGTGCTCCCCATGGCACGGAGCCATGTGGGAGCAGTTCCTGAAGAGCTGAGTTCGGGAAGGATGGCATCCCATGGGAGAGACCCCATGTGGAGCAGGGGTAGAGAGGGACCGTGAGGGAGCAGCGGAGATGAAGCACCAGGGACTGACTGCAGGCCCCAGTGCCCATTCCCTTGCGCTGCTCAGGGGGAGGAGGTGGAAAAAGGTGGATGGGGGAAGGCGTTTTTAGTTTTCTTTCAGTTTCTCACTGTTCAAGTGAACTGGTGACAGGCAATAATGATATTAATCTCCCTGTGCTGAATCTGTTTGCCTGTGACAATAATTGTTGAGTGCTCTCCCTGTCCTTATGTCAACCTTTGAGCCTTTTTCATTGTATTATCATAGAATCATAGAATCATAAAATATCCTGAGTTGGAAGGGACCCTTAAGGATCATCAAGTCCAACTCTTGACACCGCACAGGTCTACCCAAAAGTTCAGACCATGTGACTAAGTGCACAGTCCAATCTCTTCTTAAATTCAGTCAGGCTCGGTGCAGTGACCACTTCCCTGGGGAGCCTGTTCCAGTGTGCAACCACTCTCTCTGTGAAGAACCCCCTCCTGATGTCAAGCCTAAACTTCCCCTGCCTCAGCTAAACCCCGTTCCCGCGGGTCCTGTCGCTGGTGTTAATGGAGAAAAGGTCTCCTGCCTCTGGACACCCCCTTACGAGGAAGTTGTAGACTGCGATGAGGTCTCCCCTCAGCCTCCTCTTCTCCAGGCTGAACAGGCCCAGTGCCCTCAGCCGTTCCTCGTACGTCTTCCCCTCCAGGCCTTTCACCATCTTCGTAGCCCTCCTCTGGACACTCTCCAACAGTTTCATGTCCTTTTTATACTGTGGTGCCCAGAACCGCACACAGTACTCGAGGTGAGGCCGCACCAGCGCAGAGTAGAGCGGGACAATCACCTCCCTCGACCTACTAGCGATGCCGTGCTTGATGCACCCCAGGACACGGTTGGCCCTCCTGGCTGCCAGGGCACACTGCTGGCTCATATTCAACTTGCTGTCTACCACGACCCCCAGATCCCTCTCTTCTAGGCTGCTCTCCAGCGTCTCATCGCCCAGTCTGTATGTGCAGCCAGGGTTTCCCCATCCCAGGTGCAGGACCCGGCACTTGCTCTTATTGAACTTCATGCGGTTGGCGATCGCCCAGCTCTCCAACCTATCCAGATCCCTCTGCAAGGCCTTTCCACCCTCATTCGAGTCCACAACTCCTCCAAGTTTGGTGTCATCAGCAAACTTGCTCAAAATACCTTCTATTCCTACATCCAGATCGTTTGTAAAAATATTGAAAAGTACCGGCCCTAAAATGGAGCCTTGAGGGACCCCACTGGTGACCGCCCGCCAGCCTGACGCAGCCCCATTCACCATAACCCTTTGGGCCCTGCCCGTTAGCCAATTGCTCACCCATCGTATGATGTTTTTATTTAGCTGTATGGTGGACATTTTGTCCAGTAGGATCCTATGGGAAACCGTGTCAAAAGCCTTGCTGAAGTCCAAAAAAATCACATCAGCTGGTTTCCCTTGGTCCACCATATGGGTGATCTTATCATAAAAGGAAATCAGATTAGTTAGGCAGGACCTACCCTTCACAAACCCATGCTGGCTATTTTCTCCACTTTTTCTCTTTCTGAATGGGGAGTGAGAGAGTGGTTGTGATGGAAGTCATCTGCCCAGCTGTGTAAAACCACCACGGTGATGGAGCACTGGTACAGGTTGCCCAGATAGGTTTTGGTGTCTCCACTGGTGCTAGAAGCTTGAAATCCTGACATCCTTGGCAGCCAGAAAGACCTTGCTGCCATGGACTATGGAGTTCTTCCATGAGCCACAGCCCTCAGTGAAAGTCCAAAGCTTTGTCAGGATTTTCTCTCTTTCTTGGTTTTAGGACCCACTTCATGAAGCAAACTGCTCCCTCCTTCTTGCTCTACATACAGCCTAGTAATAAGAGTGGAGTCTTCATCCTTGGAAATGGTCAAAACCTGAGTGGATACAGTCCTGAGCAACATGCTCTAGGTGACTCTTCTTGAGCAGATGGTTGGACAAGTCCATCTCCAGATGGCCATTCCTCACCTCATTCAGTCTGTGATTCTTCGACACATAACGGTTCTTCATTTTGGGGGAGGAACTCTTCTTCATATATGAATTGTGAGTGGAAATAAAGAACTGAATTGATATGTATTTTCTTTGCTTGCTTTTTCTATTTTCCTGTGCTGAAGTGAAGAGGTAAAAAGCTGTGACTATGACTATTTGGCAGAAATGTAGTGATATGTAGAATGGTTCCCCAGACCACCTTCATCTCAGTGAGAGTAAACTGATTTCAGGCTGAGGCAGAGAGCTCATCTTAGTGCACCTGCTACTTAAGATGGTACTCTACAAACTCAAACACAGACCAGAAAGATTAAGCTGTCTGCTGCTATTACTTATCTAATAGAAACACAATGAATTAAAGTTAAGGGCTTTTTGTCATGTCACCACCCTTTACATCAAAATATTTGAAAGGTAGCCAGCTCTCTTTATCCTCTTCTCTTCATACCGGTTTTGAAACTGAAATTCTTTCAACTGAAGCAGAAATCCTTTGTCAGCTTGAAATTGGAGCATCAAATACAGTCACTGTTATTTTGTAGCTACTTCCATTTTTATTAAAGCTTGTCTGTTCTACAGCAGATTTCTATAAGCAATACATAAATGAGGTTTTGAAAATGAATTTCAAAAATAAGGCTTTATAAATTCAGTTTTGAAACTATACCTATCTATAAATGAATTTCAGCCCAAGTCTGAAATCAAATCAGTTTTAGAATATAGTTTAAAACTTAGAATATTTCCTTCCTACTATACATGGCAGGGTATTTGCTGGTTTGGAAATTCCATTTACTGAAGAAGTTTCTGAAAAAAACCTGCAAGATCTACTTTGCTCTTTAAACACTTAAGGCAGATTTTCAAGGCCTGTCAATGAATGACCAAATAAATTATGAATATTATATATTTCAGCAGATTTGACCAAGACAGTCAATAAACAAAGTTATAGTTTCTAGAATGAGAGACCAGAATACTAATTTCTGCATTTTCATTAGCTTCTGCACTGAAGTCCCTGGGAGAATAAGAACAAATTGGACATCTGTTGAATTCACATTTCAGCAGAGTGACAGGGCAGTGCACTCCAGTAAAGAGCAAGGGAAATCATAAATGAATTTGCAGGAAAGTATTTCTACAGCAGTTGCAGATCTTAAAATTAACTGAAAGAAGGTTCTTCCAAAATGAAAACTATTTTTAAATATATATTATTTAAAAAACATAAGTTATAGCAAGTTTCTGATGACTTCAAGAATCATATGCTTTTTCAGCTGAAAAGATGGAGAGCTGCTTTTTTGTTGCAGATTTATAAAAGTTGTTACTCATGTGAGCACAAGGGCATTCTGATAATGTTAGCAAACCATTACTTATATAGCAATGCCAGATTGAAGGAGCTTTATGCCATTCTTGCACACTTTGCTATTGTTGAGCTACAGGATATTCAGAACATTTCTGTTGGGCAAACATATTCTCCCCCACCCATTAAATATGTCCTTGCCCACTGAACACAAGAGAACTGCTTCTTTTGTTAGGAAAAGTCTCTTCTGTGTGTTCCGTGTGTTTTTTTTTTTTTTTTTTTTTTTTTTTTTAATAATTAAAAAAAAAAAAAGTCATCACTATACAGGTTGGTGGCATTGCCATACGGAACAAGGTGCACATGCATGAGGACAGGTTGCAAAACTGTGTCCCCAGACTGTATGCTATCTCCAATTTCCTGTTGTCAGACAGGAAGGATAGCTGGTGAAGAATAAGGATGGCAACAGTTTCATGTTCTTATTCTGTCCAAGATCCAGAGAAGGCTTAATGAACACTTTATCTTGTTATGAGAACCTTAAATTGAAAGCTGGTTATCAATGTTATGAAAGTTATGTTCAAGACAGAGAAACATAACATAATTTGCTTCTGCCAAAGTTGGGGAGAATGTCCAAATTCACCAGGGTTGGTTAAATTTCATCATCTGCTCCAGTCTTCCCATCTCCCCATCTCCCCAGTACTTCAGCTTCCTACAGCTGCCCTGCACACGGGAATTGGCTGCTCAACGCAGCCATGGTTTGGGTGGGATGCAGAACTCCAGCAGGAGCCTACTTTGCTATTAAGCAGCTGAGTTTCAGTAGGACAGGCAAGGATAGCTCTGCTATGGCCAAGCCCACAGGGGTTGAGAGTAGTGACAAGCCCAGGGGATCACCCTAATGTTTATCAGAAATGCTGTACCTCAGTCAAACTGCTGCTGCTTTGCAGTAAGTTTTAAATCTGATTATCCCAAAATCACACCTTGTTTTTTCCATTATGTTCTTCTTGGGAATGACTACTAAAAATCTCAGAGACAGCATGGATGACGTCCTGTTGTGGAAATGTCCTCCAGTAAATTTCATTTTTAATTTATCTGAATTCTCAATGATCACCCAAAAAGATCACTTTTCTTTCAAAAGCAGTATTTATTTTTCATCAAGATAAGACACATTACATACTGCATAAAGTAAAAAATACTGCTACAAAAGCTGCATTTAACTGAAATAACAAAAAATATATATATAAATTGCACTTGAGAAAGTAGGCTTTATCCCAGAAGAATACACTAAATAAAAAGTTAGCAAGTGGCTTTGAAATTAAGAATCTATTTGAGTTTGCTTTGAAAATGTATATATTTTAGGGTGCCCAATTCCACCAATAAAAATGAATGAGATTTTTTTTTTTTTTAATAGCATTGCTTTTTACATTAAAACAATATGTAAACAACATGGAATTTATTACATAAATGAAAGAAAAAAATAGGTGTGGAAAAACATCTCTGCAATTTCTGCTATAAATAAAAAAATTGCTGGTATTTGATTTTGCCAGATTCACTACAGGTTGGGGTCAGGGAATTTGAAAGTTTTACTCGGTTGATGTTTTTTATCTCCCCCTCACTGCAACATAAAACCTATCCTTAACTCTTCTGCATTGGCCTGGAGCATGCTGTCTTTATGGCAGATGGCAGCATGAAGCAGTGAGTCCTGGTCAGTGGTTCGATTCATTGCTAAGTGTCACAGGAGAAACATTTTATGTTTTGTGACAAGTTTAGCCTCTTTTTAAGTAAGTAAATCCAACATTAAGCAAGAGGATAATCCTTGTTATACCAAACTCTTTTACAGCTGAATTTTCCTCCTGGATCCTGACATCCACTGCTGCCTGAATCTAAATCAGTTAGCAAAACTATTGGCTGTTTAGTCTTTAAAGTGAGTAATCATACCATCTGCCTTGGTGTATCTCCTTTAGATGCTCAAATCAGATTTTAAATCTCTCTACACAGTCAAAAGAGAGAGAAAATTCCCATACTGGGTGATCTCTGGGGTCTATGGCATACTTTGTAAGAACATCTCTCTCCTTGCTCCCTGGAGAAGTGACTCTGGCTCTCCGATGAGGGTGGATCTCCAAAATTAGATGGTGTAAACACCTCCCAAGACAGAGTTGGTGGGGATGGAGACCAGGTGAGCAAGCAGAGGAGCATGGGAGATGCCAGACACGGTGCACATCTTCCCTTGATGTGTGGGAATCAAAGGACCCCTCAAGGCACAAAATTATGTGAGACAGATGATTCCTACCACTGGTACTATTAGGCCAGAGTGCTTAAGCATAGTTCAAGCACAATTCAGTCAGGAATATGCATTAGAAAGAGTATCTCATAAACAATCAGTACTGTCAAGGTCTGACATGCAAATTTATTTCCAAATTAGCTGAAAATTATGGAAGGTCTGGGTCAATCTTATTATAAAGCTAGAGACAGAAAAAGAATTAAGTCTTCTTTAAACAGCCCTGAAAAGAAGTGAAGCCAGCAGTCTTTGGTTACATTGTTGTTCTTTTAAAATGAATTGCTGTGAAAAATGATGAATCACCTCCCAACGCAGCATTTGGGAGCATTTTTAAATAGACATCTGGGAGCCAGAGAGGAAAAATTAATATAAATAATAATAATAAAAACCCCACACATTTTGAATCTTAAATGTTAACGTACAGGAGGAAAAGCAACACAACATTTCTAAGGGATGTTTCAGTAAAGTTTTGTTAAAATTATAAAAAAAAAAGCACTTATAAAATACTTGAGCTGATAGGCTAAGTCTGAACAATACTGCACATTATGAAACATAAAATTGTGTATTGCTAAAACATACCTTAATGGCTTTCAATATTATACTATAGCATATAACAGTTTTCACTAATTATGACACACTATTGTCAAACTACTTTGCTCTTTCAGAGAGGCAGAAACACAAGAGGCAACATAAACAAGATGGACCAATGCAGTCTATGTCTGCTATTAAATATAAAACCTCAGCCATTAAATGTGCCACCCCATTCCCTCTGTTACATTCATGAAAGAACTCCAGTTCTTTCACAGACCTAAAGCTGTCTGTGTTTTACACTGAACAACTTTTGGAGCAGCGTTTTAAAGCCTTTAAAGCTATTTTGGAAAGATTTTATTTTATTTTATTTTGTTTTATTTTATTTTCATCTAGAGCACTTTCATAATATTTTAAAAGGCATAGGAAGCTATGCTGTAGCTTGTAAAGTGCTTATTTTATTACAAGGTGGTGTTTAATAATATTCTTGTGGAAGTTAATAAATGATGCACATTTTCCATGACAGACAGACATTGCTTAATGAGCTAATATGCCTCAGAAAAATGCAATCAAAAAGAAATTCACTGTCAACAGTTTAACCGTGGCAATACACATAGCTGAAGTGAGACAACTAGCCTCAGATAACTAAGATTAATGGATATATGACAAAGTTATAATAATCCATATTTAAAACAAACAAACAAACAAACAAACCCCAAACCAAATAACGATAATTAAATCTCAAACACAGTTTAGTTTCCCAGTAACACAACTGCAAAACAAATCATATTTTCAACAAACAAGTGCCCTATTTAATCACCTGCTTGAGGAGACACAACACGCCCCCAAATACAGTGAGGGGGGGACTTGGGGAAGCTCTATCTTGCTTTTCATATAGAGAGGGCCCTTCCTGGGCAACTTGCTCAGGGCAAGTGGCAGGAGTCCAGTTCAGGTGAGTAGAGATCAGAATCAGGCCTAGGCCATAGGGATTTACTTGGGGATGTGAAGGGAGCCCCATCTCAGTGTGCTTGCAGAAGCACATGGACGATGGCTCCTGTGGAGTCATCGTGGCAAAAGTACCCACCTCTGTACCCCCTACCACCACTAGTGTCCCAGATTACACAAAGCATTTAGTAATTTCAGCACAAGGTTTGCTCAAGTACAGACAGTGAGATTTGACTCTACTAGTGTTGTATTTCATGTAGTCATGGATTTTCCTCATTGCATCTCACTGTGTTGGGAAGGAACACTGGGAAGTTCGTTTTTTAGAGCTGAATTAACCATTTTCCAATCATACAGGCTCAAATTCTCTCTTCATTTATACCCACAAAACCCTACTGCCAGTCAGGAGAGTTCAGCAAGTAGAAATGGCAGCAGAATTTGAGTATAGGAAATACTGAATGAGAGATGTGCATAAACACAACAAATGCTCTTTCATTACCACAATATCAGTGGGCATTATTGTGTGCCTAAGGACTGTAAGTGAGCTTTTGAAATCCCAACCCTCAGAATCTAGCTATAGAAAACCATAACCCTATATTCTTGGATGTTGATATATAAATCTATGATATACCTGTTTAGCTGCCGTGGCACTAATCAACATGGCTATACTGAAACACAACAATCATTTAATCATTTTTGCTAATTGAAAAGGCAGGTTAATAGCAAAGTTCAAGTGATTAGTGAATAAAGGTCCTCAGAGCAATCCCGCTTAAAAGTAAATGTCTGGTAAGCTGCAATTAGTGGGTCTTGGGTTTTTTATTTCTCTCTTTCTTTCTCTCTTTCTCTGTTTCTGTTTCTCCCTTTTCTTTCTATCTTTTGTTGTTGTTGTTGTTGTTGTTTTGTTTTGTTTTTGTTTTATCGTGGTGGTCTTGAACTGCAGACACAATCACAACGCTCATGGTGATCCAACTGTATATCTACTAAAGCCATGTTGTTCCTGGTTCTACCTTTCCTTCGAGGATGCCCAGCCTCAGGGACAAATTTCAGCACCTGGCAGGATTAAGAGAAAAGCATCAATTAGAAAATGCTGCTAGAAATAAAAGGATGAGAGTGTTGGGGCCCTACGGATACCACCCTGACCAGCTTCATCTGCAGCTTGCACCAACACCCCTTCCCGTGGACACATACACCTGCATACGCACAAGATAATGTTCAGGTAGTCTGTCTTGGCAATATATTTGTACTTTGGTGTTTATTTGTTTCCCCCTTTTGGACTGGAATGGTTCTTGAATTCTACCTTGGAGCCTTGGAGCTCAGATTTTATTTTCTGTTAATTGGGACATATTTTTATTATAATTCCAGCTTTTTTTTTTTTTTTTTTTTTTTTTCTCCCCACTCTGTGACACCCTGCTGTATTGTTTGTCCTGGAGCTTTGACAGATTGGATTATTTTCTACATCAGTTATCTTTGTATTGTGCAGTTCCCTAACCATGTCCAGAGCTACCCCTTTGCATGCTGATTATCAAGCATGTTTCCTTTGGCTTGTCTTTACAGTCCCATACATATTTGAATTGTTCTGTCCCTTCTCTCACTTGTGTAATATTTCTGCTCTAAAGAACAAGGAACATTTTTAAAAACATTTTTAAAGTTCTGAAGTATACATCATTAGAATTGGTCCAAAAATGAAATGCCTGTTGGAGGCAAAAGGATATGAATGGAGCTTGTGCAAAATATTCACCCAGATATCACTGAGTTTCTCTAGAATCTGACCTTTCATAACATTTATAACTTTGAAATTCTCCCTGATTTGAATTGGAGATTGGACTAGATGACCCCCAGAAATGTCTTCCAACCCAAATTATTATATGAATATATGATTTCATAGAAAATGGTGCGAAGATGTGGAAAACAGCCATAATATTGAGTCCTATCTCATCTTCTGTGATAGCATATGTATGTGAAAAAGGGACTGGCAAAGGTTGAGGAGGATGGCATTTTGCTTGGGCATGCTTAGTGAGCCCACCATTGGAGGTTGAGTATCTGTCTAAAAGCTCATATCACCACTAGTTGTTGAAATGCTTATAGTAGTTTAACAGAAAAGGTAATAATTTCAAATTACTGCCCTAAAACTCAAGTATTAGTTTTGATCAAGTACAGAAGTTGAGTAAAAAAACAAGAACATCTTAACTCTCCTATAGCATTTTTTCCCTAAATCTCAAAGCACACTCCACAGAAAGCTATGCATCATTATCAAACTTGGATGGAGAATATGAAACTATTTCTTCAAGGCTCTCTACAGATCAGTAGAAGACTACCAGTGGCATTTGAGTTGCCAAAGCAATTCAATCAAGCCATTCCAGAAAACAGAAACCATGCGCTGGTAAGATGCTAGAGCCAATCATCTCATCCCTATGGCTGTTGTGAGCCATATTGGCTTGGCCAAGGCACTTCTACACCATCTAGATTTGTCTTGCTTGTTCAAAAGGTGGACAGAAATCCATCTTGTCTGTGAACTGCCAAAATCACTGATCAGCTGGGGAGTGGACCACTGAAGCCCCATTAGTGTCTAAACCACAGAAGCACCTACATCTTCAAGACTGAATAACAGACCCCCTAATTAACAGATCATGCTGTCACTCAAGGAATAACCTAATTTTTGTACCAAGTACTTTCTGTACATTGACCTCAAAACATCATACAAGAATTGAAATGATTTGGGGAAGGAGAAGGAAAAAGGGTTGGACAGCAGATTGACAAAATATTGGCAGCTTCAATAGAATTAGGAAGCCCCAGAAAGTAGTCTGAATGACTTGCCAAAGGTTAACCATGAATGTTTGGGAGAGCTGGTGGGGAAAGGAAGGGTGAGCAGACTTCAAGATGAGACAGTTTGTTGTCCACTGGTAATGCCTGGAGGGTAGGAAGGCTGTGGGATGTAACAAAAGAGAGGAACACTGAACATCCTCCGTTTTGTGATATAATTCATGTTTAACCTATGTACTACTAAGAGGAAGGACTGTGCCTAAGCAAAGTACAGATATGGTGTTTTCACCTGTTGTGAAACCTTTAGAAATGTAGAGACATGCCATTAGAAACAAAGAAAAAAATATAATGGATTTGAATTTTGAACACTGACTGCCTCAATATAGGCCCTAAATCCTGATCCCAGACAACTCACTGTACCACATTGTCATCCAAAACAGAAAGGAAATGAATGTAATCTGGCTACTGAGATTATTACAGAGCTCAAAACAGACTGCATCTTCAAACATGCCTTTTTTTTTCTTTCTTTCCTTTTTTTTTTTTTTAGGGAAAACAGACTTTTAAAACGAAGTACAGCTACTGAAGCCAAACCCATGATAGAATTCTTTAGTTAAGGAAGACTTTCATCAAAACCTGACAAATTCAGACGACTGGTTCTTTGCAAGATTGTAGGTAGGTAGATCTGCTTTTTTCAATTGAGAGCAAATGAAAGTATGCAATCGGATGAGAGCAAAGATGTGGGCTGTATTTAAGCTAACAGACCTCCTGACAGATTGGGGATTTTCCCTGTGTTTTATATTAAGAAACGAGCACAGTATATGGGCTTTGCTGATAAGAGTAGAAAAATGAATTGGCAGACATTTCCTCAGACAAGACAGGAAAGAAGTGTTTGAACACAGCTGAAATTGGACTGCTTTAATAGCTGATCACAGAACTGATGTTCAAAGCTTTCAGTCTAGCTTCCATCTAATAGTTTTAGTTTCAACTAAATACAGAGAATTGAAAAGAATCAGGAAATAAGGCCATTTCTGGTGACCACAGTAGTTGAAAGAAAACCTTTTATTTTGAAAATAGCTGCTGTTTATTCATTTCATGGTCAGCTCCTTAAAGGTGAACAACTACTGAATTAATGAAAATAGTTCAAAGAAATTTTGTTTAGGACCCTTTATTGCTCCCTTTTTGATGAGATCAGAAGCATTTCTGCCATAAAAATATGGATATAAGGAAGGACATGGAATGTTCAAAAGCTTTATTTTGTGTGGTAGAAAAAAATGTTTACAGCTTTCAAATTAGAGGAGCAATGTCTGTCACTACTAATCAAAATGCAGTGCCTCAGCTGTTCAGATCATTGCCTCAAAAAGAATATGTAACTACAGCCATATCACCCTCATCAAACACTGAGTTAATTATGGTCATAAAGCTATTAAAACAGTGTGTGTATATATATATATATATATATATATATATATATATATATTTATAAAAGCAATACATGGGACTTAACATCTGAGCTAGACTCAGTGTTTATAGGTAATATGAGAAAGAGAATCAGTGCTTTGTTACATTTTACATGTGGATAACCACATGAACATGCCACTATGCCAGACAGCACTTTTTGTAGGTGTGACTGAACATCTGAGAAGTTTCAGGGTCAAATGACTGTGACAACTGCATAATTTTATGTGGTGGTGGTGGTGAAGGAAATAGAAAGAAAATGCTCTCTGCCAGGAGTCTTACTAACTGATTGTGCATTAAATTTGGATTCCAGATTGAGAAGGATTCTCTTAACTAAAGACTAAAGCCATCACCAAAAACAGCACCTGGAATCTGAAGCCAGATAAACTCAGTGTGGAATTAGTCAACAGCTGTTTAAGTCAGGGCAACTAAACACTTGGACAGCCCTCCAAGGAGCTAAGTGGTTTCTGATCTCAGTCCGAGGACATCAAGAAACAGCAGCCTTCCTTGGAAGTCTATAGTACAAGCTTGGGGCTTGCTTTGGGGCAGTAAGGTGCTCTCCAGTGGACTGTGGAGCATGGGAGGTCAAGGCCAATGGCCCCTTTAACCTCAGATCTATAAAAATACTTTGTAACCTGATGTCAGAATCAGCAAGGCCTGTTCGAGGGCTAAAGAGAGCAGAGAGATAATGTCGGCTGCGGAAAGGACCCATCTGGAGATGGTGTCTTCACCGTGACCCATGACCAGCACTTCTTCAGTAGAAGCAGCAACAGAGGTAATTTTGGAGAACAATTCACCTGAAACACCTGTCTCTGGAATTGTGTGGTGGGGCTAACTCCATTGACCAATAGAGGAGCCCAATGGCTGGACTCTTAGCTTTAAATGAGTAGAGCTAGATGGGGAAAACCACTCCTTCCTAACCAAGTATTATTTGCCTTTGAAGTCAAGCAACATTTAGCCATAGAAGTCCATTATAGGTGATTTGTGTTCTAACAAAAAGCAAGGAGCAATAGGGAACCCAGCCAACACTTATAACAGCAGCAAGAAAAATGTATCTAATTGCTCATATCCATTTTTAATTTATTATCATTTACTTTATGTATTAGTATTTATTTATACTGACTTCACTAATGTTATTTGTTAAATTCTTGATCAGTAGTTTAAATAACAATGAAGATCTAAGGCCTCATTTAAAATAGTTTTTTTTTTTTTTTTTTTTTTTTCTGATTAGGCTAAAGAGACTACAAATAATCAACATGACTACAGTTTACCAAATATTGATTAGCTTCATATCTTCATATTCCAGTGACAGAGGATGGAGAGCAACTCTGGATGCTATTTTAGATAGTGAAATTTGTACTTTGCAGAATTTATTTTAACTTGCAGCTATGCAGCATTATCTAATCTCCTTTTGCTCATCTAAAAATACCATCATTCTGGCATGCAAACCAAATTACATTTGTCTGAGGCTCATGAAAGAGGACACATCAAAAGTCCAAAACATCAACAGAGATCCAAGTTCTGATACAGATGAAAAATCTTACTCAGCAATTTCTAAAAGTTATCTAATCCAAGGTCACACATAGTTTAGCTATACCCTTAGCATAAGAAAGCCAGCATCATGGGAATGTGGTTCATAATTTAGCATAAGAACCTTTATTCTAGTAGGAATGTAGCCTAAAATAACAACAGACCTAAAGCTGTATTCTTTCTTACTCAGGATAATTATAGGATATCAGGAACAAGAAAAAATAAAAAAGGGTTCTTTTGTTGATCGGTGGTAGCACTACAACTAAGGGATTATTAAATGTGTTCAGGATTATTGCTTCTATTTA